CTGGTTTTTTCTTCTACTTCTTATGGTTTATTTTTTAAATTTCGGTGTTGTCTTCATTTCTCCTCTTTTTCTAACTTTTATTCTTCATCTTATTTTCCTTATTCATATTCACCGTCTTAGACTTCTCCAATTTTTATATTGTCTATTTGCCATTTTATATAAAATTTCTTAACAAAGTAGCTTTATGTATCGTATTTTGAATTTTCAAGGTGGACATAACTTTAAAATCTCCATGACAAAGAAAATGATATGAAGTCAAAAATTCATATACAGTATATAGTTTATACACGAAAATTTTTCTACGTGAGTATATCAACAACAACAATCATTATGAAAAATACATGTCATGGTCGAATATCAAGAGTCATTGTTATAAAAAGTATTTGAAATTTGTTAATAAGATCTTGTGGCTATTACGAATGCGTGTCTAGTGCTCGCTAAGTTTTGCTTCATGACGTCTTTGGCAAAGTCAAATATTTCCTGATCACGAATCACAAAAAAAACATGTTAAATACCATTGAAGCATATATAACCTAGAAACCAATATATACGCTTCTTATATTGTTTTGCACTATAATAATAAATTAATAATGATGGATTTTGTGAGAAAAATATTAGAAGCTAGCCTTTTTTATAATTTGTACATATTGACTTATCATTGAGACATCATATACCATTTCAAACAAAAAAAGATAACAATTAGCAAACTTTAGAAAAACATATATACCAAAGATACAAATTTTTTACCTACATATAGATCCTTGATTTGAATGATCTTGTTGGCAAAGTTATATCAGCAACTGAAGCATACAAACAAACAATTAGTATTGAATATAACGCAAACGATATTCCAAAACATTCTTTGTAATCAAAGTTGAACCTATACAAATGTTGCAAGATTAACTTAAAAGAAATCGAAGACCTAGTTAGTTTGATGACATTTACAGTTTTACAAAATGATGTATTCTTTAAATGCAATATGATATAATATCATAAAGTTACATCTTACACGGTAAAAAAAAACCACTGAATAACAAAATATCATGAATTCATAAAGTAGAATAATGTTTTGATCGAGAACGAATATGACAGTTTGTGACGATGTAACCTCTACAAATCTTCAATCYATKYGTGGAGGCTYCACGTGATTCATTCTGAAAATTAAAAAGGTACATGTTAGKCAAAAAAATCGTTAGGGTTAAGTATGGTCCGATCAAGAACGAATATAAACCAAAACGATAACATAAACTTCAACTCAATTTAGAGTAGTAAATTGAAAATATCAGAGTGTTGGTACTTACTTGAATAATGGGGGAATGTAGTTGAATTTGATAAGACTTCCTCTAATAATTCTCGATTATCGGAAGTAATACGATCGAGCTCCTAACAATGAAAAAATTCAATGAATAATATTAGAATCGTTAAAGTCAGAGTAAACACATCATGCGAAAAGAAAGATAAACTATACAAAATCGTCATGACAAAAAAAAAAACTATACAAAATAGTCTACATTGTTTATTGGATTTATTGTTTGTACTTATAGAGAGACATATATTAGTTAGCAAAATTAGGATTCGGCGGTAAAAATCTTAACAAATCAAATTTAACATTTTTTAATTAGGAGATTAGGTAGTTGTGAAATTAGGAATTTTTTGTTATTAATAGGGTGATTTATCATAAGCGAAATAAAAAAATAAATCGTATTTCTTGAATAAGATTAGTTCCAAAGCACGAATATTCTTTGGATAAAATATTAGTTCCAAATTGTAATCTTTGATAATCTTGCAGACAAAGATTTTGAATCTGTTTAAA